AATCCCTAGAGCACCTGATTAACATTCTGGTACAGGCATCTACGGTAGATTAACTGCCAAGCCCATTGAAGCACAGCTCTACTAATTGAAGGCAGAGCTGATGTGTTCTAGTGATATGTAGTCAGGCATAGTATGAAACTAACAGATGCCACCAATTTAAATTCAACACATGAACTTCTGTACCTGCTGGATTGGAATAATTTCCAGCAGAATTCCTGTTGCGAAACCAGACATGGTTATCCTGACTAATTATCAACTGCTTCCACAATAAAGCTCTCTTTTCATGTGTCCAGAATGGGGGGCGGGGGCAGGAGAGAAGAGCACATGCATTAATGACAACGAAGGAACTAAAGCTTAGCGAGGGGGGGGGGGGGGAGAGAGAGAGAGAGAATCACAGTAGCAAAAAATGTGGGCACATTTCATCGTAATTATAGCCAACTCCCTGTTGGTGAAGACATGAGTGTGAATAATTCATGTATTAAACTCTATGGACTCCCCCAGAAAGAATCTTAGCAGTGATAAATGGTTATATTTCCCTGACTGGCTTTGCTTCTATTGCTTTACATTGGTTGCCCCAGAAGGTCTCCATAGGAAGGGGGGGGGGGGGCAGACACCCATCATGGTGTGGTGATGGATGGCCTTTGAGGAAATTTGGGCTAAGCCCAGAAAGAACCTGAGAGTTTTACAGTCAGTTTTTCTTAATAGCAAAGCTTTATATTGCCCCATGCTGCCATTTTTAACCATTTTCCAGTTACCATGAACTTGTTTCAAGTAGCTGGCAAATTAACTCTGACGTCAGTATATAATAGGGTGAGAAACTTGGCCACTGTATATTGTGCAAACCTCAGCCTGGGGCTATTATTATTATGGTAGTGCCTACAGGCCCACATGGAATTGAAGGCTTATGCTTCAAGGCAAAGGCACAAACACAGCGAGGGACAGTCCCTGCCTTGAAGAGCTTACAAGTTAAATAGGAAAGATAGGAACAGGGAGCAAAGGGAAAACTGAGGCACAGAGCAGTGAAGTGACTTGCACAAGGTCATGCAAGAGGTCAGTGGCAGAACCAGGAATAGAACCCAGGTCCTGGGCTTCCAGTCCAGTACCCCACACACCAGACCACACTGTCTCCCTGGCTAGGAGGCAACATAGGCCAGGAGTGGTAGGAGGGAAGGACCAAATTCTGCTCTCAATCAAACTGGTCTAAGTTTGGAATAACTATTGGCTCCTGTGGAGCTATTACAGATTCCCACCTATATCACAACAAAGCACCACCTGGAACAAAACTGAACACAACTGGCATTTGCCAGAAAGTGTTACTCCCCAGGACAGATTAGTTTCCTCCCCCAAACCTCTTAGAACTTCTCTTGGCCACGCTGAAGGGAATTAAACAACAAGGCAACAGAGGGCTTGAGAAACACTTTCCAGAAAGCTGCAGCTTGTCCACTCTCTAGGCTCACTTTTCTCCAATTTGGGAAACTGTGTGCTGTTGTCACTGTTGATGTTTTGTTCCAAGTTTCTTCCATACACCGCAATGAGTTGACAGATTCAAAGAGAAATCTTTCCAGCAGCAGTGTCATCATGCAGTAGCGCCTGTGTTTCACTGCATGAATGGCCGCAATCAATTCTGTATCCTTGTGTACTGTAGAGCACCACAACGGCCGTTTGCAACAGCCTGGGTGCTGGTTTGGGAGTGGATCAGGATGTAGGCAGTAGAGAAATGTCTACAAAGAAATGGCCAAAATTGATCACAGGGAGAACAGCATGGGAGTCTCATGTCCTGCTGGCAGTTTGGGAGTGAATGGGGGTAAAAAGGATTTTATTCCCTCCTCAAATCTGCTATAGTTCCCCTGCAAAAGGCCCCTTTATTCTGATTTTGCACCGAGTATGAGGAGTTGGCCATAAGCCACTGTCTGTGCTAGTGAAATTTGGTATGCCAATCGCTTTTTGATCTCCCTGGCAAGCTCATACCACACCACGTGACCATGCACCTAAATGTTCCCAATGGGGCACATGCAACATCTGTATAGCCAGCATGTGGTCAACGTCAATGCAGACAGGAAGTGCTGGTATGATAGTCCTAATGGCATTGTTAGGCCTTCCACCACTACCTCACAGTGCACAGCCCAGATAAGCCATCTGCTCTTTTATCTGCCCTCTTCTAACAAGAGATTACATTTGCAGAAGCCACTTACCTGTACAAATTGCTCTACCCTCACCAGAGAACTCATTTGTATGCTGGTTTGCCAGCATCTGCTTCTTCCGCAGCACTGTCTGGCGATCAGCTCCTTTAGCAGCAAACGTGTCTTCAGAAAGCTTTCCCATTAGCATTCTGCCTACTGGTCAGAGGCAGATGTGGGGCACTGATGATCATCTGGGGCAATAAGGAAATCCACTCACAACTGAACTGTGGACATATCAATGAAGCATTACATTTTAAGAGAAACAGATGAGTTGTAGCACAAGAGTTTGAATTAAATGACCAATGTACTAACATATGATGCTTCACCCTCGGGTCTAGCTGCCACTTTTACCACCCCCATCCTCCTCTCACCTCCATTATTCTGAGGCTGGACAGTGGGTCTCAGGGCTGCTCCAATTTGTACTGATCCCAAAGGGCAGTTATGCCATCCAGAGATTACCAGAAGGTACAACACTCCAGTCATGTCCTTTCTCCACCTCCACACACGACACAGGAAGCAGCATAGTGTCAGCTACCTCAGCTCTATGCTGCTAGAGGAACCTTCAGCTGGCAAGTTAAGCCGGCTTTACATCCTCTTTGTAGTGCAGGATCCAAAGGGGCCATATCGGGAGCCAGAAGCTTGCAGGATACGTCTGAATTCCTACCTCTAGGGCTATAGCCGCCTCGAGGACTGCTTCTCCTGTATTTATGGGGGTTCCATAGTATTTAATAGAACATGGAGACAACTCTGCCCAATCTACAGCATTATTCTTTCTATCAATACTAAAGTCACCTGGAATCGTGACAGAAACTGTGCTTCAAAAGATTTATTACATATAGTTGTACATATTTTACATGAATGGAATGTTAAACATATAACCTAAAATCAATAAAAAAATATTTAATTCATGATTACATACTGACAGACCATCAAAAAAATGTACCTTAACACAAGTCATCTTCCAATCATACTGCTCAATTACAAAATTTACAAACATGTTTTACATTGCAAATTACATTCTTACTTATGCTCAGGGTAATGAAGGAAGACTTCTTGTCCATTACCATTACAAATAATTGTAGCATTCATAAACTACTACAGAGTTCCATCTAGCACTTTGTGGACACTTAATTTTGTGGAAACAGGTACGTGAACCGGTGGCTACACTTCACCTTCTACCATGAGATTGCTGCTTAATGGTAAGAAGAGAGTAGGCGAGTTTCTCAGGCAAGTGGAAAGGTTCCAGGCTGAATCACCACTTGTTAAAATAGGTTGAATTTTTAAAATTAAGACATTCATTAAAACATCCCATCAATAACTGAGCTGCCCCACGCTCCTCAAGTGCAGCAGTTTGGCAAAGTCAGCCAGAAGAGTGTTACCTGCTATACAACGATCAGCTTTATTTTGACATGTATTTTAACAGAACCCCTCATACACAAGGCCATACCTGGATGTTCCCATTAATCATCATAACCCTTGGGAGCTTGTGATCACCTATATTTACCATTCAAGTAGTTTCCAATATAACAAAGTAGGGGTTTAAAAAAAGTAAAATAAAAGGAGAGCTTCTGAGGAAAACAAGAACAGGATTCAGCAACAGCCTATTTACTGGTGGGCGGGCGGATTTACTTACATTTGAAACTCTGCCAGAGTCAACCTTTGTCAAAGCAGACCCCAGGGCAAAAGTCTCATACAAACATGTTAATTAGAAGCGGACACAAGGAGATGAGCAAGTAGCAAACGGGTAGGCAGCAGGCACACTAGCTACTGTACATTGGCAACTCGTTAGGGAAGGATCATCGATGCCAGAGCCAGGAAAGGCATACTAGCCAATCAAGTCCAACCTCCTGAAAATGCAAATATGCTATAGTTATTTATCGGAACAAATCTTCAGTTAACTCTCATTAAGTTAGTTTACAATTTATCCAGTCGGTGACTCTGACATACCCATTAGGAAGGTAAGATAGCCTGTAGTCTATAGAACACTGTACAGTGGCCTGAGAAATTTCTGGAACAAGGATTTCAAAACCTCAGTTTCAATTTCGGAAGCACAACCACAAAACAGACAAATGCACAACTAAAGCAGTCAGGGTCCTCCATTCCAACAGGAAAAACCTCTTGAATGTGTCATGACAAAGCTGATTTTAGAAGACAGCAATGCACTTCTCTGTTCAACGTGTGCAATAGAGCACAGTGCAAGTTCTATATTTCATAAAGAAAACGTGGCCACTGTTTTGTTCAGAATCTCCTGCCCAAGGTCATTTCAGATGGCAAGAACTTAACTGGTGCAAGCTGCACCCGCTGACATAAGCACTTGAGAAGTGGTTGAAGCTAGAGTTCTGACAAACGTTCCTCTTCCAATGAGATGGTGTAATGTATTTCTAACTGACATCAATGGGAGCTTTGTCCAAAGAAGGAGGGTAGAATAAATTCCTAAAAATCATATAGCATGTTGGGGTAGGAGGAGGAAGAAGAAAGCTTTGAAGCTTATATATAAAGTTTGAGGGAGAGAAGCATGAACAGCAAAATTTTGCACTGGTCAAATCAGAGCTGAGATAACCCATTGGCACAGATAAGTTGGGAATCTTCATGTTAGCACTTCTGTATTCTGTCAGGAAACTCCCTCTCTACCACAGAATTAGCAAATACAAACAGCTACACTGAATCTAAGTGGAATCATTCTATTCCATATGATAAAGCAGCTCAGAGTCATAGAAACTTGGAAAGGAACTGAAAGCAACTGCATTTAAAAATATATTGGTTTGTCCCTGTTTCCTTAGAGATATCAAGAATATTACGTTTTAACTTCCTTTTTTTTTCCCTGGAAGATTGAAGAGGGAACATCTTAAGCCCTCAAATAAAAGAACAGGAGTGCTCAATCTTTCAATAAGAAAGCTTTTATCCCAAGTTTGTGTCAGGAGAAGTTAGATATTATAACCAAAACAAAGTTGCAAAAGTTCTGACTTAAAATTCCTTTTCCCACAATTGCTCAGGTTTTAGTCTTTTGTGAGGTCATAATCTTACTAGCTCTCCAGTCCTTTAGCAAAAATGGAACTCAAAATGAAATACTTGTAATTTTTCAGGGGAGTTTGTTTTTGTTTTTGAAATCATAAAACACCCTTTACATCATAAAAAAGCAAAAAAGATCACAAAGAATTAACTCCCACCATTGTGGGTTACCTTCAAACGCCCCATTTAGAAATACTGCAGTACACTTCCCCTTGCACACTAGAATTGGGAGAGGCTCTAGTTTATAATCTATTTAAACTCATTTTTCCCCAAAATAAAATAGCTTACTTCAAATTTGCAGTAGGCTTCATCATCTTTCCTTTTACATTCCACTCAAATCAATGTCTAGAGTACATGCACAGTGAAAACTAGCTCACTATTTAAAACATAAGTGATAACCGATGCATTAAAGATACAAAAGACAGGATGATCACAGTCCTGTAACTATTAGCAGCATGGATCTCTTGATACCATATGGGATGATCATACAAAACCCAAATCATAACCACTCCCTATCACCTTTAAATGAAACTTTTACTTGAGATGTTTGCTATACAATGAGGTTTTGAAAAACCTCACATTTCAAGATAACCTATGTCTACTCTTCTCTTTTCGGTAAGCAGCATGTATATGGCAAACCTGAGTATGGGAATTTGTTCACTCTTACATACTTGGGCAAGATATAGGTCAGATGAAAGAAAAACGGAAGCAATATAAATTGGCAATCTATATATTTACAGGCAGAAAATGTGGCACATCTAAATTTTATCATAACCTATTGGCTTCTAATGTGTGCAAGTGTGGTCTTCCTCTACTCAAAAAGAGTGAACACTTTCCCCCTATTGAAGCACAGTGGTCCAAGACCTTGGTGAGGGGATATTTTTAAAATGAGGATAGGCTTAATTATGTAGTTATGTGTACACAATTTTTTTCATAATCGTTTGAGATGAAAGCTTACATACATGAACTTCCATAAGGAGTTCTGAATACAAGTTTATGTTTAATTTTTCCATATCCTTCCAAGTTTTGTCCACATTAAGGATCTAATCCTTCTTTCCTTGGCTCAGTCAAAACTTCCATTGACCTCAGAAGGAGTTTTGGATGAACCAGAAATCTAGGATTAGGCCCCAGGACTGAAGCCATCCTAACAACCCCAAACAGTCCAAAAAAAAAAAAAAAAAAAATCCACTCTCTCCAATGGCCAGGGGGGCAAACCTGCAAGCAACCACCATATATAAAAGTGACAGCTGCTGGCATGTTTCAACTACAGCATGGACACTGGCTTTAAACTTCTGATCGTGATGATAAATGCTGGGGAGTTTGTTCTTTCAACTATTTACTTATGCATTTAAATCCAGAAGATTCAGGTTTTGAAAAAGCAGCAGATTAATTGAAAGAGTGAACTACTGAAATCACACAAATTGTAAACAGATTCATGTTTAAATACTGATCTACTTAATCCCTAAGCCAAAAACTACCTACAACCTTGAAGCACAGGACACCAAAACACCCCAAACTTTCATTGTAAATTACAGAGGAATTTCTGCTCCAGCAGTTGAGCCCATAGTTCGTTGTGGATGGAGGATGATGAGCACTAAAGTGTATTGTGCATTGACATTGTATGGCATGAAGCTAACAGCAAATGTTAAATCAATATAAATGCAAAAAACTTACTTTCAGAAGATAAGTGATTCAAAATACCAGGAAAGTAAGCTTCCAGGCAACAACGTCCCTAATAAAATATTACAGCTGCAACTTTTTCTCCTTAATACAAGGCAGCAAAACAATTCCCTGCAACAACAAAACCTATACTGGAAACTACTGTCAATCGTTGGTCAGGAGAACTTGTTTGATGTGACTACACAGTTTAAAACACGCCAGAGTCTGATCCTGCTCCCACTGAAATTAAAGAGTATGATTGGGCCCTATAACTATAGATTCAATTGAGAGTGATTATGCAAGGGAAAAAAGCCCCATGGAAACTGTACTGTCAGTTGTCAGCATTAACCAGTTTTGATTGTGTCAGATTTGCAGCATAACAAAAGGCATTTCACAGCATAAAGTTTAAGGAAAAAGGTTCTCTAGACTGAAGTCATTTGACAAGCAAAATGGGGGATTCTTATAGTGTGCAATGCACTAATTCTTCTGGGTGGCAGCAGTTGCTCCTGTACTTGCCCTTTTTAATATGAAAGAGCAGCAACAGAGGAGAAAAATACAGAATTAAGAATACAATGCCAGCCAAATTAAGCACACAAGACAATACTTAGACACTTAAGAAAAAGGTGTTGTGTAATTTATTTTTGCTATTGAAACTTAACTAAAAATTGCAGTCACTAATAGTCAATCTATCCCTGTAATGTGAAAATTCAGAAGCTGCTACATATCCATTCTTGAAATAAAATAACGTTTTCCTTCTAAGCTGTGATATCTGTTCCAGTTTGGTTTTGTTTTTTTAAATTGTGATGTTTCATGGGAATATTTATCCACATTTTGTTTGCTGTTTCCCCCTATGGATATCCCATGTTTGATAAATCCTGATATATAAAGACAAATATAGTAATATAGGAAAATAGTAATAAATTAAACAAATGCAGGTGCGTGTTAAAAATACTGCCAAATGCTAATGTCCACATAAACAGATAAGTGATGTTAGGTGCAAATTACTATGGCTCTGCTATCAAGAAAATTTCAATTAAAAAATTTACGTATAAAAAGTGTTTCAAAAGTTAATGTAAATCCCACCCCCGTGTAATATCATTACTCTAATGCCTAGGAAACTTCACTGTGCCCATTTTTGCAGTTATTCCCCTAAACCTAAAGAGGCAGCCTGGAGATGAAAGTAGTACAATAAAATAATTACCTGAAACATTTAAAAAAAATACCCGTTAAACAAATTACCTTAACTGGCAGCACTTAAAATTGGTAAATTCTCCCATTAAAAAAAATTGCATAGCTGCAAGATTATGCTTTGCTGCATTTTTTACCAACAAGCTGTAAAACAGAGAAATTTTAGTACACTTAAATAGCAATACAGCATCCAGATTTCAACAATTCTATAGCTCAATCAATATAAGTTAGTCAGCTGCCTTGGTTTTATTCTTTGGACAGCATTCTGACAAAGGTTTAGTTAACAAAACTTTGAAATACAGTTTTCCTATGCAGAAGTAGTTTTCATTTCCTGTTCTTGAAGAAGGTGAAGAATGTACTGAGGACAGGGTGTGAATTCAGTGAATAAGGTCACACTGCTAGATTGCTTGCCATTTGCTCTTCTTCAGCCTAAGAGAAGATTAAAACACTTCCAGTCAAAAATATGGTGATCCTCATGAAAATGTTTCAGATAGTTTTGATTTAGAATGCATCAATTTCCATTTGGGGTAAGAAGAGAGACAACCATAACCTGCTTCTGCAGAGAACTTAAAAGTTAGACTGAAATTAGTAACTTTGGCCTTTCAAATACAAATCATCAATAACATCTGTGGCGAGAAGATTGTTACAGGATGTGCAGCATTTTCAAAATCCCTGCGTGTCCTTTATATGGATGTTTGGTATGCTGACTCTACTGGCAAGCAGTTGGACTCGGCAGTTTTTGTTCCACACGATTGTCTATCTTTGCCTTTTCCAGACACACAAGAACACAAGTTTAAGCCAAGTATGTTCTCAAATTTGTGTTCAAAGACAGAATCTCAAATCCTCTACATTTTCTGATCCATGTAAGAAGCTGTGAGAAAACCAATAAAGATGACAAATATTACTTTCTCAGCTAGTTCAGTAAATTATACACAGTAAGGCATTACTTGCTAAAACAAAAAAAATCCAAGGAAAATCTACATTTCCCTACTTCATATTTCCTAGTGTATCACTCCTATCTTCTACAATTTAAACACATTTGATTTAGCATCCTGGGTGAAACATCCTTAAGTATTTTCAAAGATAAACATCATTGCAAACAGCATCTTGTGCTTCTCCTATGGGTCAATACACCAGGGACAACATGTGACGCTCTATATACATGACTAATTTTTCACTTGGACTTGTGCTATGGGAAAAACAGTTGTCCCTGCAGTAATGTGTTCTTTGGCAAGTGTGACAGTGCAAAACCCTCGCTAATACGACTGCAGTGTGAGCTACAACACATACTTGTGAAGTAAAAAAGAAAGCAGAACACAAACAGTGCTTCAAAAAACCACTTCATTGTTTGGGGCAAAGAGTTCATATTCCCTGATTGCCATAGTGTTTAATATAAACCCTAATGTGTTTTGTAATGGTTGGAGCTGGTAGTTTAGTGTAAGCAAGTTACCTGAAAGAATAAAAATGCCCCTTTAGTCCTTTGACTAACTGGTTTCCAATCTAAACCATTAATGCACAATACTAAAGAAGGAAAGCTTTGTATCTGTGTGAATGGGGGTGGGGCAGGCTGGGTTGTAACATTTTACATTCATTGCAGGAAAAACAATGCATGATCAAATGTTTGTTGAAAGTAAAAAGCAGGATCTCCTATGTAACATTCCAAATGAAAAAGTAGATTTCAGTCCAGAAAGAATGGTCATTCACTAAACTATCAAAAATTCTGGGGATTTGGTATTTTAAGTAGGTTTAGGTTACACAACAAAATAATCTTAAAAGGCTAATTAAAATTTCAATGGCACTGCTGCTTGTCACTTTGCAGTAGTTAAACTGCAACTTATTCCAGACTACTGGATGTGAGGGTGCAGAAACCATTTATGAATTCTAGTAATTTAAATAGATAGTAAATATACTGGAACTACAATGAATTTACCAATTATTTTAGGTCAAACTTAGATCTGAGTGCATATTTAATGTATTTATTTATTTAGTTCTTATTACTGACAAGATCAATTAAATATGTAAAGAGAAGTTACCTACAAAAGAGGAATCTTGTCGTCTCAATCTGAAGGGTGTTCAGGACAAGATCTATTTACTTCAAACCACTCATCTATGCAGCTGTTGGAACATAAGAGAATAAATGGAAGGTAAGTATATTAAATACAATTACCAGCAATTGTTGTGTGCACTAAATAATTTTATTATAGTTAAAATAAAGTGACTAGAAACATTTGAGAGTGGGGGAGGGAGAGAATGTGTTTTAAGACCTAAGCTACTTCAACTAGAATGCGTGGCACAGTATTTTTCAACATTCACTAATCATTTTTAACATCCCTAAATCCCAATAAAATAAAGCATATGGTACCACGCATTAAATATTAGAGAACTCAATGGGTAAGTTGTTGTAACGGTTTATTTCAGAAGTTTTAAAAAATTTACAAATTACTTTTTGTACTTTTCATTTCTTAAGAGGGACAACATCACCCTAATCACTCTGCTGCCTGCAATTTTTGCCCATTGTTACAAACATCATCTAAAATGACTATAACAGATCAGAGAAAAAATATATACATTTTTCAATTTTACTCTGTGCATTCAACAGACCCTGTGTGCACGTATAGTGATTTTTACTGTTTCCCCTGTATAGAAAATGTCCCCCTTTTGTTTCTGGGAGTTTTTCAAACAGCAACAAGAGAAAAACATAAAAGGAAAATTTGACTGTAAGAGCAAATATACTTGGGTAGGGGAGGATAACTCAAGATGTAGTACCTCAAAGTACTTTTAGCTAAGTTTTGTTTGTTTTTAAAGTGACAAGATGTTAATTGTCCCTTTAAAAATCCCTTATAAAAATTACTCAGCCAATGTTGGCATATGGCATTTTATCTGGGAAGAATACAGCATGAAGAATACTTGCCCTTTATGATATATGCATAGACAAGGCAGCCGTGCTATAGTATCCCCTTGCTGCAGCTCTTCCAGGCATATTGCACACTCCCCAGCATCTTTACTCAGCACATCCTCTGTAGAAACAGGGCAGTTTTAAATGGTTAAAAAAATCAACACTTAAGACAAAAAACTTTCATAACATTAACACAATTATACAACACAAAATTTTAAAAGGTTCCCTTTCAGTACAAGATGTGAAATTAAGCATGTTTATAGTGTCTGATGATGTAAGACAGGGGTAGGCAACCTATGGCACACGTGCTGAAGGCGGCACACGAGCTGATTGTCAGTGGCACTCACACTGCCCAGGTCCTGGCCACCGGTCCGGGGGGCTCTGCATTTTAATTTAATTTTAAATGAAACTTCTTAAACATTTTAAAAACCTTATTTACTTTACTAACAATAGTTTAGTTCTAGATTATAGACTTATAGAAAGAGACCTTCTAAAAACGTTAAAATGTATTACTGGCACGCGAAACCTTAAATTAGAGTGAATAAATGAAGACTCGGCACACCACTTCTGAAAGGTTGCCAACCTCTGATGTAAGAGGTCTGTTATCAGGAGTCTTAAGAGATCAAATTAAACTACAGCTGTGATCTAGTCTCTGACTAAACACAGTTGTACAACAAAGGGAAGTACTGTAGGACTAAATAACAAACACACCACCATACTGAAGCAGTGCTGCTGTTACTCTTAAAATTGACAGAGACAAAGAACCCATCACTACCATCACCCTAGTTCTGAGTTCAGAGCATCTGCACACTACACAGCATAGAAGCTGTAACTCAGTACCAGTACTAAACATTGAAGAAGTTGGATTCTCAGGACCTTAATGGCTCCAGTTTATTTTATGGGGAAAGGGGTTTTTCCTCATTGCTGCCGACTCCTTCTCCTGCCCAAGTGCACATATTCTGCTTTAAATACACACTTGAGCTAGAGGCTAAGACTGAGCCTGGACAAGTGGCTTCTCTGAAAAGAATGCTGCAGCCTGACACCTTCTACATCCTACACCCCCAGAGTAATTAACTAGGTAGAGACCCCATTGGCATCCTCCCTCTAAGTATCCAATCCCCCCCCGGCTTCCTCCCATTCATTCCTCCACTGTATGCCTGGCCCCTTCCGCACCAGCTCTCCTGTGAGCACTTGGTTCTGCTGTTGCCTCCCACCTACCCCAACTATCAGCCTGTTTCCCCTCCCCACTTGCTTCCCTCCCATTCCTATCATCCAGCCCTTCAAGAGGAACCAGAGTTCTCCATCACTGCAAACCGGTATATGGTATGGCTCACAGACCCTAAATTCTGCAAGGTCCCCTGATTTTGTGGAATCAATACTACGTCTGTAGTTAATGGGAAGATTAGGCAGTTGCCAGAAATGCACAGAAGACACTTTTAAAATGGAAGTTTTCATGAAAAATATTAGAGTGATATAGTAAAAGCTGTATTTTCTGGATACTTTTTTTTAGCAGCAGTGCTTGATGCAGAATTCAGCATCGGTACAACACAAATCAAGAGGCCTGACTACCCGAATTTAGGCCCATTGTACTGTAGAGTACAAGACATAGCCTAACGTGGATTTACACAGTGCAAGGACCATAACCAAAAGGCACATTCAGGGTGTCACAGCAAAAGAGCTGGCAATCCAGGGCAGAGCTGAATGTTGCACATTCCTAAAAAGGGTAACGTGTGTGCTGAATGCCCCTTTTGACTAACTCTTTAGGGTACTGGTTTTCAAAGTGCAGGGCACAAGGAGATCACCGGGGATGCAGGACCAGGCAACAGCAGAGAGAGGGTACAGGGGGCAGCCCTTCCCCAGCAGTAGCCTGCTGCTCCTCCCCACTCCTTTCCAACCATTGGGGACTCAGACTCTGCATGCTTGCCCCAGCCCAACAATTCGTTCAGCCACAGCAGTGTGTATTTTAAACCCTTCAGAGCCTGCAGAAGCAAGGTACTCTGTGCCGGGGGGAAGGGAGGGGGTTAGAAAAGAGGAAGAGATGAGAAGCCCCAGTCTGCGTCATGCTGCCATGAGCTCCTCCAGGAATGGAGCCAACTAGGTTTTGCTGCACTCCTGGCATAAGCCGCCTGCTTCCCTTAGGAAGTCACTTTCTACCCTGGTCGGGTGGGGAAGGGCCTGTTATGGGACTCCCATAGAGAAGGAGGGCTTAGCAAAAATGTTTGGGAACCTCTGACTTATGGCATTCAGCACATCACTCCAAAATCACTAGATTTTTAAAAAATGTGCAGGTTTCCTTTAAAATTGTGAACAAAGCTTTCAAAGTTTCTATGGCACCTGGGGGAAGGTCGTCTCCCCCCGCCCCCCGCCCCGAACCAGAGGGAATCCAAGATGGTTATCTGAGGAGCATGAGTAGACAAACTAATTCTTAAGAAACAACATACTCTAGTAATGAAGAAAAGGAAAAACGCAGCATATATTTGCACTGTTTGTAGGCGATCTACAAAATAAAAGGGGGGAGGGGTTCCAGTTGGTTTCTGTTGCTCTTTAATAGAGAAGTGGAACTTTACATGAACATTAGGGGCATTTACTATTCTCAAGTGATAAAAAGATGGAAACAGTGCCATATTATCTTGCAGAATCTCACATTTACTGCTGAAACTTCCATCAAAGACATTAAGAATTTGCCCAGAAGAGGGTGCTAGGGGTACATATTTTTCACTTGACCTCTTGAATTAACAGATGTTTCAATATCTGGAAGAAGGCAACAACAAAAAAGAAGAAGAAAAAGGACAAAGACAATTACATTTGTCTGTTTCACAGGGAAGTTCTAGGCTTTCTCCAAGGGTTTACTCATCTCACTGCTTCCCTCCCCTTCAACTCCTCTCTTTATGGGTACTGCTGCAACATGGTTCTCTTGGTCCTCTGAACATATCTATTCTACCTCCTCATTATGGCCACATAAACAAATGCTGTTAAAAATAATTCACATGCATATATACCACACACTCTCAATGAGAACATTTTTGTCACAGAACAACTTCGCTCTAATCAGAGGTTTCACTATATTCAGAGTTGCAACTGGCACACAGAATCATGCACTAGGTCCTTCTCCCCCGGTACACTCAAGCATGGTGTCACTTTAGTCAGTCCCAAAACTGACTGTAGGAGTCCTGCAGGCTTTTGGATAAAGTACTTTAAAAACAAACATTTACATAACTGAAGACATTCTTACAAGAGACAATTTAAAAAAAACCAAAACTCATTTAATATGGTTAAAAGGCTCATAAGACATAAAACATTTATATGAATTGTTGTATGCACTATTCTTTACATTATACACTGGGGTTATTGTATACTGCACAAACTTGTATTACATAGTCCTGATACCAATTTTCTGTATCTTTGCAATACTCTGGGGTAATACAAAGGCAGACACATCTGGTTGTACAAAAAGTTTTCTTTTTCTACCTGGTACCCAAAGATACTATTAGACTTTGTAACAGGTTATGAAGTTTCCAATGTTTGTATGCTCACCCTTCCATATATATATGGTGAGCAAGTCAAACTTCTTGCATTTCCTCACCCTCCCACCCACTCATGTGTACAAGGAAAACACTCACCTGTCTAAATCTTTAAGATGTCTAACTGAAAATATTCAATTATAAATGCACAACACATTAATAGATTCCACGCCAACATAAATTGCTCTCACATTTGATAACATCTACAGAATGACGACAGTGAAACTGACTGTAGTCAGGGGACCCAAGAGACTTCATATTTAACTTATATAAAAGAGATGAAATGTAGTCAAATTAGCAGAACTGGATAAACCATAAAGAATGGGGGGAAAAAAAACAAAAAAACACCCTCATGCCTTGATCTAGTCAGAATTCCCAACTGTCCCCATTATACACAACCACCCAAGGTACCAGCCCTAGATCACTCCAGATGGAAGTCAGTTTAATGTCCATTTAACACTGATTTTTAAATGCATTTGTCATGGAAACACGTGGCTAAATAATATTTTGCTGATCCACTTGTAGTGTGCAGCAGCCAGTTACATTTCTCATGTTTCCCTGGCTGTGAAAGGATCAAATGATTCCACACTAACAAAGAAAGGGAAAATAGTTCAGTCTTTTAAAAGGTTTTAATCATAACATACGCTGATGTTACTACGTTATAGGTACTATAAAAATGGAGGTTAGGGAAAGAGGGAGAAGAGTGGAGACATTTTTCACTAACTAGGAAGCGAAAGGGGTGAGGCAAACTCATCCTCCCTTTTAGCTATTAGAGCAGAGGTGGGCAAACTATGGCCTGCGGGCCACATCCGGCCCGCGGGGCCGTCCTGCCCAGCCCCTGAGCTCCCAGCCGGCCCCGGCCCCTCCCCTGCTGTTCCCCGCCCCCGCAGCCTCAGCTCACCGTGTCGGGAGTGCGGCGGCATGGCTGGCTCCGGTCAGGCGGCGTGGCTCAGGCACAGATTTACAAGTGAACACAGGGTGCCCCGGCACGGGGCTCCCAACAACAGCAGGGGGCCGGGGGCCGGGCACTTGGGAGCTCAGCACCGGTGCACCCCCTGCGGGGGGGGAGAGGGGCTGCACTGCGGGGGCAGGAGAGCAGGCGGGTGGTGCGGGTGGCGGGAAACGCGGCCGAGAACTCAGGAGGAGCACTGGGCGGCCGCGCAGCCGGACGGAGAGAAGCGGCGCTTTGAAGGGGAAAACGTTGCTTCTCTCCAGCTGCATGGCTGCCCCTGCTCCTCCTGAGTCCTTCTCCCATGCTCGCAGGGCCACATTCTGAAAGGGGTGAGGTCCCAGGGGGCGGTTAGGGGCAGGGGGTCCCGGGAGGGGGCGGTCGGGGGACAAGGAGCAGGGGGGATTGGATGGGTCGGGAGTTCTGAGGGGGGCAGTCAGGGAGCAGGAAGTGGGAGGGGGCAGATAGGGGGCAGTGGCCAGGCTGTTTGGGGTGGCACAGCCTTCCCTACCTGGCCCTCCATACCATTTCACAACCCCGATGTGGCCCTCGGGCCAAAAACTTTGCCCACTGCCCACCCACCCCACCCCGTGTTAGAGACTCCTACTAGCCAGAGTCTGATATAAAAGATGTAGCACACAAGCAGGGTTT